AAATACCTGGCTCCAGATGGCGGATCGGAGCAGCTGGTGGCGGTGAATCGAAGCAGCCGCTGAGAGGAGTCGATGGGAACGATGGAACTCGCGGCGGCGACGGCTGAGGAGAACTATGGCGGTGGAGATGGCGGATGAGGGATTCCTTAGCTTGGTGTCGGCGACGGCGTTTGATCGAGGCTGAGGGAGTCGCGGTGTCAGCGGCGTCGTGGGAAGATGAGTCCGGGAGGCGGTGTCAACGGCGGAGATCTGGTGAGGTGTGGCGGCGGTGAGGCGTTGAGGCCTGAGGGTTGTTGTGAGAGAGCTGATCGATTTCCGCTGCCCTATTTTGAGGGTTATTTTTTTATTTTTTTTTAAAGATATGGTTTCCGGCTTTCCGCTTGCGGATAATTATATTAATTAAAAATTAATATAATTATCCGCGCTACCCTTGCTACAAGAAAGGGTAGCAGAAACTCTTTCCGTCATTTTTTATTTTTAAAATCGCTACCTTTTTAATAGAAAGGGTAGCGATTTCTTATTGATTTATTTACAAGTATGCCACTGCCCCTTTTTTTTTAAACAATACACTACCCTTGTTTAAAGAAGGGTAGCCTAAAGTCGTATTTCTTTGCTCTATTTTGTACTAGTGTGGGGTTCAGTCTTTTGAAAGAATGATATTGTAGTTCGGGAAAAGTCCTTAATGAGACACTTCTCTTAGTGAGAAAAAGTCTGAATCCACTATGAGTTTAGAATTATATTTTTAGTAAGATTAGACGTCTATTAAAGTCTTCTATTTTTTAAATGAACAATTTAAACGTTTGTTTTTTAAAATAACATATGCCTAAATTCACCTAAATAATTAATGCAATATCACTGCATAACTTTAGGCCTTTTCTCTGTTTTTTTTTTTAATAAAAATAAAAAAATTGGGCCATTTTATACTAGTGATTTTTTTTTTTTTTGAGTGCCGGAGAAATCCGCATTCACTAATCAATGGTGTGATGAACTAGGTAATTCTGCCTTGTCACCTTAACTAACAAAGTACCAAATAAGGTAAAATAGTTCTGAGTATCTATAGTTAATCGGCTCAAATCAATAAATCCAATAAGATGCAGTCAAGTGAATTGTTTTTAAAATTTTATTGTAGGTTAATGATATCATTCTCGTTATATTGGTTCCACTCCACTCTTCTTTCTTCTCTTGTCTATATTTTAAAATTTGAATTTGCAATGATTGGTTTAGGTAATCTTAGGGTATTCAATCATGACTTTCATAAATTTGTAAAGACTTCTATGAACTTTGAAGGTTTAGAAGTATTCAATTCAAATATTTAGAGCGCCTTTAAAAGTCAGACGTATTTAATCAAGTTTTTTAAGGAGTCTTTAAATTAAAAGTTGAATATTCGATTAAGACTTTAATTTTAAGATTTTTATAGACTTTTTCTTCTCAAATATAAATAGTTGAAATTCAACCCTCAAACACCAAGATTTTAAAATTTTCTTTATACCATTTGATGGTATTTTCTCTCTATTAAAAATCTATTTTTACTCCGTATTTAAACTTATAAACCTTATACCTAAGTTTAATAAATTATATTTTCTTCATCATCCTATATTTTCTTCATAACTAAACTCTATCAACTTTTTCTTTCTCCAAACTTTACAATCTTCTTCAAAAAATTATTAATAATATTATTTTTACTTGTATATTTTGATTTTTGTTTTTTTTTTTTTCTATGAACTTTTATGCCTAACTTCTAAACTTTTTTGCATAACTTCTAAACTTTCTCTAAGAACTTTTTATCCCCAAATACATGAAAAAAGCAATTTTTTCATCATCTATCTCCGTCAAATTTTATATTACGACATGTTTCATAATATTCATATATATACTTGTATATTTTGATTTTTATTCTTTTTATGTTTATATATATATATATATATATATATATATATATATATATATATATATATATATATATATATATATATATATACTAGTAATTGTCCTGTGCGATACACGAACTATTATTAATTTAACAAATTTACCAATTAAATTTTTGACATCCTCTGAATTAGCAAAGATAGTAATGGTAGTGAAAACAGAAAAACGTACTTGAGTTCTTGAGCTCAGAATTAGTTTTATTAAAAATGTATGTATAACTATACAATGTAATATTAAATATTTTAAAAATTTTAATTATGCTATTATTATGTTGATTTTAAAGTTTATTGTTACTTATATTATTATTTGAATTTGAATTTTTTTGAAAGGAATTTGAATTTGAAATAACTACTTTAATTATATAACTAACGTATTTAAATAAAACTTGTAATAAATAAAATAACAGGCAATGTTTCTCAAAAATTTCCACCAAAAACTTATTCAATTCATTTGAAAAAAATTATTTATGTAAGAACTATATTTATTTTATATCTAATTTCTCCTCTTTATATATGTGGAGTCAAATTAATTATAATTAAAGTTTAAATGAATATATACACAAATTATATTATATATAAAACTTTACCAATAAATTTGAACACAATAAACCTTTTTCCATATTTCCTTATGCTTTATTATATATAGAGATAGAGACAGAGTTATAATAATAAAGTATAATTTATAAAATATAAATACACATAATAACTTCAAAAAAATGTATAAATACATTTACCCACACAATTAATGCATTCATACTTGCTAATCTTGTTTCTATCAAAATACATTTACACTTTGGAGGGAAAATTTTGTGGCTAGATTCTGTTTTATTATATAGAGTAAATACCTAAAATGGTCCCTCGACTATAGCTAAATTCACAAATTGGTCCTCAACTTTCAATTTCAACCAATTAAGTCCTTAACTTTGTAATTTTAACACAATTTGGTCATCTGTCTATTTGACCGTTTGTTGACTGTGATTTTTGAGGATATATATATGTAATTTCATGGTCCATCATCGGATTTTTAAGGTTCCGGTTGCATTTCCAGACCGCACTGTTACATTCGAATCCACTGCCGAAAGCAATCTACCAAATTCGGGTGCCTTTCTTCATCCTCCCTTTGGATTCAATGTAGTTGAGTTCGTACCAAAGCGAAGAAGACGACGTGTTTCCGAACCGGTGCAACGTCATCCTGGAGGCCTCCACGTGCTCCGACGAACCTGAAGGTTCTTCTGGAGATCGTCGATCACGGTCAACAAATGGTCAAATAGATGAAGGACCAAATCGTGTCAAAATTGTAAAGTTAAGGACTTAATTGGTTAAAATTGAAAGTTGAGGACCAATTTGTGAATTTAGCTATAGTCGAGGGACCATTTTGGGTATTTACTCTATTATATATAAAGATATATATATATATATATATATATATATATATATATATATATATATATATATATATATATATATATATATATATATATATATATATATATATATATATATATATATATATATATATATTAAGGATCAAATGTGAAGGAATACTTTAGATAAAAAATAGGGTTAAATCTCAATCATAGATTTAGTCCAAATCAACAATCCAGATTGAAGATTAATTATAAAAAAAAAAAAAAAAAAAAAAAAAGGCGCGGTGGTAATTTTGTAATTTTGAGTAATTCAGATTGTCTTTGTATCCAAGTACACATTTTTTATTCTTTGAGTGCACATGTTTCCTTCTTAAAGTGCATATTTATCTTCTTAAAGTGCATATTTATCTTCTTGAAGTGCATCTGATTTAATTTGTTTCTGTACATAGCTTCTCTTTTGAATGCACATCGTAATTCTGGGCCAGTATTTGTTATATCTTTTGCATTCTTTTCAATAACATATAACTAAATTTCTAATGAAATTTGTGAGATTTACAAACGATTTGTATGGGTAATTGCTTTAATAACACTTAAGTTGAATAAAATTCATTTTTGGTACCATAAATTGCACCAATTACACATCTATTTACCTTCGAGTGCAGAATTTTTGCCTTCAAGTGGATATTTTTGCATCTTTAAGTGCATGGTTTTAAGCTTTCAAGTGCACAATTTTTATTAATTCGAAAGGAATTTTTTTTATAAAGAGAATCAAATCTAGATGAATTCAATGGCTGAGATTTGCACGCATTTTTTACCTGTGGAGTCATTCGCATTGGATCCCAAACACACACACACACACACACACACACACACACACACACACACACACACACACACATATATATATATATATATATATATATATATATATATATATATATATATATATATATATATTAATAACAAGATACTATGAATAACGGATTAATATTCGCAACAATAATTTGGGGCTACAAACAGTAGTACCTTGTTGCTTTTCACAGTCTCAAATTGCTATTGCATGCAAATAATAGCTCTTTGCTTAGATGCCTAGTAGTATATGAAATTATCAAGTATTATAAATATTATATTTTAATTTTTTTATTTTATGCAACTAGTAATTATATTTTTAAATATTTTATTTGAACAATTCTATTACTATAAATTTTAATGTTCAATATTGTTATGAATTTCTTATTAAATAGTTTTTTTTTTTTTTTTTTGTTGATGTTCAGAATACTATATATATAATTACTAATTGGCATTTAAGTCTCACCATACTATGGATAAAAATAATAATGTTGATGTGGGTAAAGAACTATATAATAAAAAGAATTTTATAATATATTATAACATGTTTTGTAAGAAAATTATAAATGATAAGAAACACAATCATTGAAAGTTTATAAGGATATATTAAATTTAGAATTTCAATGACTTGAGAGTTTTTTTATTTTTTATTTTTTGACAACACTTGAGAGTTTATATTCAGCACTAAAAACAAATAGATTTTCTTGGTTAACAAGGGAACCTAACGCACAAAGGACTAAGGAGATAAATTAAACGAGTTTAAACCAAAAAGGTGAATAAGTTGTTTTAGTTAAAAGTCAAACTCGTAAATGTGATTGCTGATTCAAGAGTGACCAATTAGAATGTGATTGCTGAACAACATAAACTTATGAATACAATAGATGGATTAGAATGTAGAATCCAAAAAACATAAAAATAAAAATTCATCCCAGACGCCATGTATCATCAGTGGGTACATATCAGACATTACCATGAGAGAACTTAATTATAATTGCGTAGATAGCAATGAATATTATAGAGTGAAAGATCATAGCCTTGCCATTGGTCTTATTGGATTTGAACTCAACCTTTCGATCGTTTCCCGGACACTGGAAAAGCAGACCGGGTTGCAACAGATAAAAGAGCACCGCTCCGACTAGCAACGGTGACCACCTACCCATGAATTTGTTGTTTTTATCTGTACATTGCCAATATACAATTAATACGCCATCTATACAATTGGAACCTTATGGTTATCAAGTCAACAACCCAACAAAAGGGAAGTATGTGAACCCCGAGGGGAGTAATTCAGTGATAGAAAGGTTGGGTGTGGGCATAGTACCCAACAAATATCTGGGTTTAAATCAACATAGATTAGGATTTCAGTCTTGAAAAAAATACAATCACTGAGACAAATCTCGCAATTTACATACTTAAAAGGTAGTGTGTGATTGTTAATAGTTACCGCAGTTTCCAGGCTGGGGTTGGACTATGGAATCAGCCATCTGAACACGAGTGTTTATCCGGGCCACAGAACTCTGAACCGGTGGCGTAGTCGTAGTGGGCGACGCCGGTGATGAACTAAGCACTAGGGCTGCAAGAACAGCCAATCTGAAATCAAAACTAAGGGCCATTGAAGATATATAGTTAGTATATACGATGATATGGAATAAGTGATATAGATATTTGTGTTTTGATTATTGAGTACGATGAGAATGCTCTGGATGTGATAGCTATTTATAGGAAAAAGTAACATCAAGCTTGCCAACAAAGCATAATAGAAAGTCTTTAAAATAGACCAAGGGATATTTTTTAGTTATAACTTTTATCATAATAATAAACGTATAATCTCAACCTATCTGTATCAGAAAAGCTGGTCAGATGCGTTTAAAACCACTATGGTATTGTTCACAATAAAAGTTGAAGGACAGAGATGCAACTATAAACATTAGCTAGCAGTTTTAATAACAGTAATGGCAACTTCTCCAAATTGCCTGAACCATTTTAATTAGCATTAGGTGCACAATAAATCAGTAATGTCCTATTTTCATCTACCTCACTATGGGCTACCATTTTTGTGGTTTACTGTAAAATCTGTGGGTCAAATTTCTCTAATCTTAATACACTTTATACGGTTTGGTGTTCTATACGCCGATATGTGAATTAGTATAAAAGAGTATAAAATATTAAAACAAATAATTTTGACTAATATCAACAAAAATAAATGGGATTAATTCCATTTTTCTTACTAGATTTATAGGTGTAATTTCATTTTTAATCCTTTTTTTTTTAAATCAATTTCTATTCACCGTAGTATTATTGTGACATGACAAATTTTTGTTCTCTGTTTACACCCATTTAAATAATAATAAATACGAATACATTTCTATCTTATTAATTTAATACAAAGTGGGTTGACTCGCTATATTTTTATTTTTAGTTTTTATTTTTTTGAAAAAATTGCCTAATTCACGATTAGAGTCACATGTCTTCTTCAATTGCAATATATACCTCCACAGCATCGCCTGCACAACCCAAGGCTTCGCAGCAGTGGAATGACACATAAATCTAAGACCAAAAAAGGGAATAAACACTTAGAACTGAATAGGCTGAAATACCTTCATATTTAATGTCATTTAAATAGGATTGTTGATGAAAGGGCGAAATATGGTCATGTCATAATAATACTAAGATTTGAAGGATTGTTTTGAAAAAAAAAAAAAAGTTGAACATCACACAGAAACATAGAACAAAAATTGCAATTAACTCAAAATAAATGCATTCTGGAAGTCCAATTATTATATAATTCATTATTTTCTTTGAAGAAAAAAACTGCAAACTTTAAGTAACATTAAGCTTGCCGCATAGAATGCGACAGAAGTATTCAGTCCTCTCATCGACGACTTATAGTCTACGGAAGTCTTCGCCCATAATTCTCATGCAATTGGTTGATATTAATACTGCTGCTTAGCTGAGTTAGTTGGCTCTATAAAGTAATGTAATAAAAGTAGTGGAGTACTACCTTAATTATATTTTTATTTTTATTTTTTATTTTTTTGAAAAAAAATGCCTAATTCATGATTAGAGTCCCATGTCTTCTTCAATTGCAATATGTGCTTCCATAGCATCACCTGCACAACATAAGCCTCCGCAGCAGTGGAATGACACATAAATCTAAGACCAAAAAAATGAATAAACACTTAGAACTGAATAGACTGAAATACCTTCATATTTAAAGTCATTTAAATAGGATTGTTGATGAAAGCTAAGGACGAAATATGGTCATGTCATAATAATACTAAGATTTGAATGATTGTTTTGAAAAAAAAAAACACTAAAAGTTGAATATCACACAGAAATATAGAACAAAAATTGCAATTAACTCAAAATAAATGCATTCTGGAAGTCCAATTATTACTTTTATTTTTTTAAAAAAAAAATTCTATAATCCCTTCAACAAAAGTTTTTCCTAATATTTCTCTTTATGATGTAGCTTAAAATCATTGGTGCCCATAAATTGGATAACCCTATTAGTTAAAAAGAAAGTTAATTGTTCAATTAAAAAATATCATAACAGGGAAACATTTTAGAATGCTGGATAACATTTCTCTTTTAAAAATTTGTATGACCACCCATTATGAGCCATTTGCGCTTCATGACGCTCAAATACGCAAATTATGCCATGGAATCGTGTTCACCGAGAATGGTGAACACAAGGCAAAACGACGTCGTTTTTAGGCAAAAAAAAAAAAAATTCACGGATGTGGAGTTAACGGCGCGCGTTTGATCAAATTATGAATTTTCTGTTATGAGATTATGAATTTTATGAAAATTCATAATCTCATAACAGAAAATTCATAATCGCATAACAGAAAATTCATAATCTCACAACTGAAAATTCATAATCTCATAATAGAAAATTCATAATCTTATAACAGAAAATTCATAATCTCATGGTTCCAAAGTGAATGTGTAGGCATGGTTCCAAAGTGAATGTGCAGGCATGGATTCATAATTTATGAATGTCCGTGATTTCGGACGGGAATATGTAGGCATGGTTCCAAAGTGAATGTGCAGGCATGAATTCATAATTTATGAATGTCCGAAATTATGAATGTAATGAAAATTCATAATCTCATAACAGAAAATTCATAATCGCATAACATAAAATTCATAATCTCATAACTGAAAATTCATAATCTCATAACAGAAAATTCATAATCTTATAACAGAAAATTAATAATCTCATGGTTCCAAAGTGAATGTGCAGGCATGGATTCATAATTTATGAATGTCCGTGATTTCGGACGGGACTGTGTAGGCATGGTTCCAAAGTGAATGTGCAGGCATGAATTCATAATTTATGAATGTCCGAAATCTTTGTTCACCTCACATTAAAGTGAAACTGCAAAATGTGAAAATAAAGAAGAAAAGTCACGCAATTAATTAAAAAAAAAAAAAAATAACGGTGTACTAACACCGTTGGAACCGTGTTCACCATGAATGGTGAACACGGTTCCATGGCATAACATCCCGCTCAAATATGGGTAGGCCAACATTCAATCTTTATACCATGGACCAAAATTCAAATATGGGTATGATCCTTTTTTTTTTTTTTTTTTAAAGTTACTGGCTCTATTACATTGTAGTATCTGTTCATACACAAATATGGGTATGATCCTAGTATATATATTTATGTCTTATGTTGTGAATTTTTATGTCTTGTGTTATTAAATTATATACCTTAAGAGTATGAATTTTGTACTTGAAACAAAATAGTAATTGTGTTTTATGTTATGAAATTCTGTGTCTTGTGTTATGAAAATTTGTGCCTATGAACACAAATTATGTACCTAAATCAAATTTAAAAAATAAATAAAAATATTACATGTGTATGTATCTTGTGTTGTGATTTTTGGATCGTTATGATGTGCATCCGTATACACCATGCATGGTGCATACAGATGCAAAAACGAAGTCGTTTTATTAAAAAAGCGCATCCTACTTAAAAAAAAAAAAAAAAAAAATCAGTTTCGATTCCCCTCAACAACATTATGTTGTTCATTCATTCTGGAATTTTAGTTCATAGATTCTGGAATTTTAGTTCATAGATTCTAGAATTTTAGTTCATTGATTATGGATATTTAGACGTGAATCGAAACTGATTTTTTTTCATTCATGTTGGATATTTAGTTCATTCATTATGTATTTTTAGTTCATTCATTATGGATTTTTAGTTCATTCATTCTGGAATTTTAGTTCATAGATTCTGGAATTTTAGTTCATCGATTCTGAAATTTTAGTTCCTTGATTCTGGATATATAGTTCAAATTATGCACAATATAATGTTGTTACTGGGAATCTAAACTAATTTTTTTTAAGTGAGACGTGCGTTTTTAACAAAACGACGTCGTTTTTGCATCCGTATGCACCATGCATGGTGCATACGGATGCAGAACATAATTTGGTATGATTTTTTTGTGTCTTTGTGTTATGAAATTTTGTATCTTACATATATGAATTCTATACTATGTGGATCCTGATCCATATATAATATAAATTGCCGCCAACATTGGCCATGTACGGTCAAGGGGATATCATAGGCCCCCAATTTTTTGGAATCCATTTTTTTAAAAAAATAATTATATATAATTCATTATTTTCTTTGAAGAAAAAACTGCAAAATTTAAGTAACATTAAGCTTGCCGCATAGAGTGCGACAGAAGTATTCAGTCCTCTCATCGACGACTTATAGTCTACGGAAGTCTTCGCCCATAATTCTCATGCAATTGGTTGATATTAATACTGCTGCTTAGCTGAGTTAGTTGGCTCTATAAAGTAATGTAATAAAAGTAGTGGAGTACTACCTTAATTTTCAAAAGTTGAACCCTAGTGACTTGTATATACTCCATAATAAATTAGATTTTTAACTACTCCTTCACTACATCATTTTAACGGTATTGATTTTAGTAAAATCTAAATGAGTGAATAGACCTTTAAAGTTTTTAGAAATTAATTAATATTTGTCTTGGTAAGTTAATTACTCAGCATTACCATGCAATCAAGAACATGGTAAAATGCATGAACAAGCTAGCTAATGCAGACCACAACCCAATTGCAGTACACTAACTTATGATCTTTTACACATATATTTTTTTTGTCCTTTGTTTCACCATGAGCTAATGATGGCCATGTTCATGATAAACATTAAATTATTAAAAATGATCAAAACCAAAAGCAACTCAACCTGCTATTTGCCACTAGTAGGCTTAAAACCATCATCATGATCCTAATTATTCATGTTCAATCTCTCTCTATTGTTTTCATTACCCTAAATCATTGCTTTATTTTATTTGTTTAATGCAACTATCCAAGTCAATCGTTAGGATTAGCTTCATAAAATAAATTAGTAACTAGTGCTTAATACAACCACTTCCCTGTGGATTGATAACCTGATACTCCAGGTATTTATTTGGTTAAAAATATACAATCAAATTAGCGTCGTGCCGGGGAAGTGGTTTTAGTATTGACATTAGTGAAAGTTTTATTCTAGGAGTATAATCCATTTTTTTTTTAAATTTGTTTTTTATTTTTATTAACAATTTTCTTTAGTCTATGGATGGATATGAATTTCAAGGATGCACATCACCGACTTCGCAACCCTTATGGTGT